TTTCAACAACCTACAAGGATGTTGTAGGTGGATACATAATATCTCTAAAAATGATGGTATGATTCTAAATCTTTTCTTCAATGTCCTATACTTTTCGTGGAAGGCTAGAAACAATTTAATACATGGAGGCTTGAATGAAAGTGCTTCCTCTATTGCTATCCAAGCAATCAGCCAATCTTCTTACTCTAAGATGATTTATAATCAATTGCCGGAATCATGGGATGTTAATCAGTCCTCTAGACTGTTGAATGCTTGGCATCCCCCTCCACCTGGTTGGTTAAAAATCAATGTATATGCTACTCTTTCTTCTTCTTACAAAGCAGGAGTTGGAGGTATTATTAGAGATTGCAATGGAAGGTTCTTATTGGCCTTTGGGAATACTTGTATCCATTGGGACATTTACCAATTGGAATTTCAGGCTATCAAAGCTCTGAAGAATATTATAAAAGATTGGATGTTTAAGTACAAAGGAGCTATTACTGAGAGTGACAACTTCAATGTCATCAAGGTGATTCAAGGTGCTAAGGATCAAGGAATCAAATATCAAGATGAGTTAAACTTTCTCAATTATTTTAATTATGTTATTTTTAAATGCATCCCTAGAGGGGGAAATAAACTAGCGAACTTGTGTGCTAGTTATAGTCTCTTGAGTAGCTTCATTTGGGATGACATTTCTTTGGATAAGATTCCTCCTTCATTTGTTCAATTGGTGAAGGAGGAATCATGGTTGTAGTTCTTCTTGCTTTTTCATAGCTTTTAATTCATTTATGATTTTATCAAAAAAAAAAGTAAAAAGATGCACAAAAAATGTGCCACAAACTGTTGAAAAAGATGCACAAAGCACCACATGCGGTAGTTATTTCTTTCTACAATCTTTCAATCTCTTAATTCAAATTGATCTTCTGTACATCTCTATTTCGTATTGAAATTTGAAAAATACAAATTTTATATTCATCATTTATGCAATGATATTCTTTATCTTAATGTCTAAATTGATTCATATTTTTTATATATCCTTTTTATTATCGATGTTATATCTCTTCTTAAAGTCTATGAATCATTTTATTTGCCTAATTATTTAATTTTATTTGCAAAAATTATTTCAGTCACTTTCAAGGATCAATCATAAAAGGATTATCATATGACTGCTTATATTTCTTTTCTTTTTCTTCTCTTTTTGCTGTTGTCAAAAAGGGGGAGAAAATATTGTTTGTATCATATATGTTTGATTGTTTCGTATCGTCTGTTTGATTGTTTTGTATCATAGTATTTTTTTATGTATCATATTTTTGTTTCGTATCGTATATGTTTGTATTAAAAAAAGATAAAATTATCGTACTATGTCTCCTTATATTCACATGTTTATCAATTCAGGGGGAGTTTAGGAGATTCTTAGAATTTGAAAATTATATAAACAATAATTATTTTGCCATCATCAAAAAGGGGGAGATTGTTAAGAGAGTTCATATTTGCATGTTTTACCTTCTTACAACTTGTATAGTTTTGATGATTCGAATTATTATTGTCTTAAGTTTTTGTTTTCTCCTAACACTTTTTGGAAGAATTGTTTTTTTGCTCTTGTGTGTAATAACATTTCAGGATAATCGAACTCCAGACTAATAAAGATTTCAAATCAAATTCAGCATGAGATAGTTTGTAAATTAAAGTTTGTAATTTTTATTGTAATTGAGATTGAGAAAATATGATTGTAATTGAATATCTTAGCGCACACACACACTTGGGGAGATCTTTAAAAAATCACACTGATCGTATGGGACGAACCATGTTCGTACGAGACGATCAAGTCAGTTAATCCCTTCGAAAGAGCAATGGAACAAACAAGAAGTGAGAAAATTTTTCTAAGTCCTGATCGTCCAGACGAATTTCTTAATTCATCCCGGGACGGTCTACTCTGGATTCTCATTTTGTGCTGATAGTCCAGACGATTCATCCTGTTTGTGCCAGGAGAAAACTCTCACAAAAATTTTCATCTAGATGAAAACCTATATTTGTCCCAAGATTAAACTCTCGGGAAAATTTTTGTCCAGACAAAATCCTATATTCGTCCCAGGATAAACTCTCGGGAAAATTTTCATCCAGACAAAATCCTATATTCATCCCAAGATGAAATGCTTGGGAAAAATTTCATCCAGATGAACTCTTATTCATCCCAAGATGAAGTACTTTGTCTTTTGAAATTTTGTGAATATCCTACAGTTTGTCAAAAGCAACCC